CAAGGAAATCACTTAAAGGCTTTTCACTATAGTTCCGTGATTATTGCCAATGCAGTGAGGTGTTTGTTCATCTGGTTTCTAAAGAAACATTGAGAAATGTGTCTGCATGGGAATAAGAAGAGTAACCCAGTTAGCAATAAGTGAAACCAAGATGCCAGGGCTGAATGTATTATAACTCATCAGTAATCATAATGGTTGATCATAATGGTTAAGTTCCAGAGGAACTTCATTTACTCAATGTACATGGTTAATTTACAGATAAGGTGAACATTATCTTAAATCTTATTTCATTTCATAGCAATGAAGAAAACGTAAATAAATGGAACTTTGGTGGTTTTAAAATCACCAGGCATTAGCACTGTGCTTCCTTGGCTTCTTTAAATATATGCATTTAGTTATCATAGTAAACAAGTACTCATCTAGACCAATTCCGTATTTCTAGGATTTACTTTTTTTTCTCTCAGTTATTTTGTGACACAGCTAATTAAAATATACTGTTTCGTTCCTCCTTTGAATGTAATAAAACCCTGCCTTATTCTTTCTGTCACTTTAATCCCTCTTTCTTTTCCATTGACACATTTCTAATACCCCTTCAGACAGGCCAGACACTGCTGCTTCATCTGTACCAAATCCACAACGCTTAACACCTTTTGACAAAATGGATACATCCTCCCTGTGGCTTGGAATTGATATATGCTGTCAAAAAGGGTTTTCCGAATGGTCTCTCTTTGTCACCTTTACCAGATTTTTATTCTCTGTTGTAGGAATGTGCAGTTTAATGTTGCGTTTCAAATCATTTTTGGCTGGAAAAGTGTGTAATGGAATCAGGGTGTCCCCTGAATACTCCTAACAGTAGGAGATGCCTCTTTGTTTTCAACACCAGAATCCCAATAGACCCTTCACAGCAGTGAAATTACACTTTTGACCTTGTTCACTAAAGTGTTTCTTTCTCTGTATGATTAAATGAGAGTAACTAACAATAGCTTCCTCTGAAATGTATAAATTTCCCTCTGTTTGTTTCTCTTAAGAAACTCAGAAAGGATGCTGTGCAATTCTCTGCTGATTGTATTCTCTACAAAAGAAAGAAAGGAAAAAAGAAGAAAAGCAGCCTCGCTCCTTCAGGGATGGGTGGCTGTTTTATCCATATTAAAAATGCAAAAGTAATTGATGTATTGATATTTTCCCTAGGCCACTGTGGTGTTGCTACATCTCGAGTGCGAGAGCACCACTGCAACGCACAGATTTTTACCCTTTAGTTGCTTCATTTGCCACATATTTTAAGAAGGGATGTTTACACACAAGATATTGCTTTAAAGTATCAAATATTAATATAGAAAATAAGCAAATACTGTTCTGAGTGAATGCTGAAATACTGAAAAGATCACTTTGTTGTACACCACAGTCTGTGAAGTTATACCAATCTAAAAGATAGATGCAGTGTTTTATGTAGATTTGCATGCAGCCTGTTAAGCTCATGTTTCTTTTCATTTGTATGTGACTTGGTGGATGTAGCCTGCTGCAGGCTGCACTGTGACTGTCAGCCCCATCTCACACACTGAAACATCAACGCATCAATTGCTCCACATATGGTTATTCAGAGCAGGAATTTGCTAAATCAGAAGATCCTCAAAGTGAGGTGGCCAGAAAAGAGAAAATCAGATTTTGTTTTTCCGCTTTAGACTACTTTGGCTGTGTTTTGGGGATATTTTTCAATGAATTCCTGTTTCCTGTAAATATTCACAAGCTCCACACTGGTGAATATACTTTGTTTTGTGCAGTGTGCACGTGTCTGAAATGCAAGTGCAGCCCTACATTTTGTCTGGGGGGAGACCCTGCACTGGATGATTGAGTAACTAGATTCAAAAGAGGGGAGCAGACATAGTGAAATTCTTGTTTTCAAAAGGACTCAAAAAATACAAGACTTAAGACTTCAGGGCATGGGTGCCATTATGAACAGGGTTTTTGCTCACCCTGATACGGTGCTACATAGAGAAGGCATCAGAGCAACAGGGCTTGGAAGGCAGCACACCCAAAGCTGTAGATCTGTGGCTCCAGACCTTCTCTCCTGCAAAAAAACAAACAAACAAACAAACCAAAACAACAACAACAAAAAAAAACCACTAAAAAACAAACAAAAAAAGCAACCAACTTTTGTGCTTTCTTTATTACTTCTTCACTGCTGATGTAAACTAGTGATTGGTGTGGCTCTGAAGTAACCTTGTCATCAAAAAATATTTTGTTGGTTGTTGACATACTTGTTCCATACAAACATGAATCACCCAGCTTCCTTTGGCAGGCTTGCCCTGTGGCCGTGCTGTAATGTGTTTCACCACTGTGATTGAAATTAAAATGTCACCATTAAACATGGCAGTCAGATGCTCCCTGAGCACTGCATCTCTCCAAGTTCTCTGGCTTCCTATGTAGCTATTTCTGACAGTTTAATAAGGTGGCTTTATTCTGGTATAAAATAATATGTTCGTACTTCCACAGTGCTCAGGGAGTTAAATGCTTTCAGAGCACTATTTCATTATGTCTATACATCTTTCATCTGTGGCAGAAGCAACAACGCTCACGTAACGTGGTGTTGCTTGTTAGTCCATTAGGAAGTGTAAAGTTAAAATGAATTGTCCTGCCAAACTGCACAGAGCGGCTGCCGGAAAGCAGCTGCTGGGCTGTTCCCTGCATCAGGCTCTCTTGGTGGAGCAAGTAGTGGTGCAGGGCTCTGGAGACTGCTCCATGGGAAAAGCCTTCAGACCGTGCTTGACAGCTTCGCTGCTCCAGCTCTGTTATTGCCAGGTCACTGAAAGGGCAGTTCAGTCTCTGAGTCCAACTAGGGGTTGATACGGTACCTCTTAAATCACAAAAACCCCACTGAGTGCGGCAGCTCCTGGGCCGGGCTTTCATGCCTGGCTTCTCTAGTGAGGCTGCCAACAAATATGTCCGTTTTTGTCATATATACAGTCACAAATATCCCTTACTGTCATGAAACTACTAAGCAGCTGGCGTGGAAAGCTAACGAAACTGCTAACAGGATAACGAGCCCAGCAGAGATGAATTCATGCCACTGACCTGTATGTGTACACCTACATCCCTCCTGTTGCTAATGTCTAGAGCTGTTTAACTCCTTAGATCAAATAATTTCACTCTTATGAGCAGATGCAACTTTTGACTTGAATCAAGTCCAACTGCTGAAAATATTAATGAAAAACATAAAACTGAGGCTCTGTTTAATCAGCTATTAACATCACTGCCTTATTTTCTCCCCACCCCCGCAAAGGTTTTCTTGTGCTAGGTTGTACTTCTCATCCCAGGTGGCTGCAATTTCTAGTGAAAATAAGTTGAGCCATGAAAGGTTGACCCACTCGCCTCTGAATTGCTTTTTATATGATGTTAGTCCCTCAGGGCCCAATTCTACCCACAGAAGTGAGAATGATAGCTATCAATGTATATCGTAAGTATGTCAGTGTACACAAAGAAAAAGATGAACCCCAGACTTCAGTGGTCTTTAAAAAACAGATTTCTCATGAAATGGTGATTAAATAGGAAGCAAAGGATGATTAAAAAATTAGCTTGACACACTAAGCAGTTAAATCAATTCCACTTCTTCTAGCGCTGCTCAGACCTGAACCTGTTTCTTCTTTACCATGTGAATCTTAGAAATGCTAGCAGTTCCTTTCCTTTGCAGTAATGTTCCTCCTATTTGCATACTAGCAATATCAGATGATCATTCAGAGACTGTGTTAGTCCAATATTATCTCCTGAACACTTGGGCAGTTAAACAGTACCACTGAGTTTGCAAAGCTGGTTTGTGTCAAGGTTGCATTTTGACTTTAGAGCTTAAATTTTCAGTGTTTGTATGCCTACCATAATTCTTGGGTGCATTGTAGTGCCATCAGAATGCCTGGCATAAAAGCAATACCAGTAAATTGATCAAATTATCAAGAGAAGTAAACTTGCATGAAAATGAGACTAGAAGATCGCAGAAAGGAAATAAGAAAAAACATGTAGAAACTGGAATTCAGGTGCCACTTACTTGCTTTATCTGTGCTGAATTCTATGCAGATTCATGAGGAGAGGTGGTTTGGTGTGCTGCTATTACCCAAACAGTGAACTAATCAACTGATGGTTGAGAAATGGCTCCAAATCAGTATTAAGATCTCTGGGATGTTCATCCAGCTGTTCGAAAGCACCAGGCATTACTATGCTTACAAGGCTGTGCAAATAATAAAGTAATATCATTTTGTGAGTGAATACATGACCAATATATGCAGTAGGAACACTGTATAAATTTTGCCCCTCTTAACTGTGTTTCATGCAGGGAAATTACACCAGAGAAGACTCAAACCATATTTTGCAGGCAATGGAGTAGTTTAAGAGGCAACAGACAGGTGTTGGAAACATTTCTTCTCTGCCATTTGCAGAAGTGCATGTGAAATCTCTCTACTGATCTATAGTCATTCCATTACCTGTCTGCCTCTGGCAGGTAGCTAGTTGAATTTGTGTTAAACAGGATTTTCTTTGCCATTTCCATTTGCTGTTGGAAAAGAAATGTTCTGACATGACATATGACCAATCAATAATTGGAAAGAGCTTGCTTTAGTCATTTGAAGCCAGTAGTATAGACAGTGTCAGCCCCAGCTGGGATTAAAACCTGCAAAGAGTAGTTCTGCAATCGCTGATTCTTCAGCATCTCCTCTGGGTGTCTACATTTCACTAATAAGGATGCCCAGCAGACATCAGCTGAAATAACACTTGCCTTTGTTGCTTAGATGTTTTTTTGTGCTCTGAAATGAATTTGGCATATACAAATATACTTTGTTATCCAGCCTAAAGGATGCACAGCAGGAATTGTTATCCTGTCTGTTGATAACTTCAGTAGGAAAGAAATTGCTTTATTTTACTATGACTCCAAAGAGAATAAGTGTCTGACAGTACCCCCTGGTTTTCTGGGTGTTTTTACATTTTTCCCCTCTACTAACAGTGCTTTATTACTCCTGCAGGGCTATAATCATCCGAAATGGTGAAGTCATTCCAATGTCTTCAGAATTCACTCCAGAGACCGAACGCCAGAGACTTCAGTATCTGGTAAGAGACTGGAGAACCAAAGCAGGCGCTGCTGCTGATGAGCAGTGCCCAGGAATGTCTGAGTTTCAGACCCACATGGTTGAGTTACTGTGGCTCAGTGGAGGACCACGTCTGCTGAACACCAATGACTGATTATGCATGTATATATGTGTTTTAGCCATCAGCAAAAGTGCAGAAAAGCCTGACAATGCAAATACTGATGAAAGGAGTCTTACCTTTTTTGTAGAGGCCCTTGGTGTCTGTGCTTTTGTACCTTGTTCAGTTGCTGACCTTCAGCAGCTTATTGATGCTGGATAACGAGAGCTCAGACATGCAGCTAACAAGCCACAGAGGTATTTCAACACATCCCAGTGTTTGTGACAGTATAAAGTACGTAAGAGTGCTCTTCGCACACATGTGAACAATATTGTTGGGTTTTATTCATTTGCTGTAATAGTATGCCAGTTGAGCTAGGTTGGGGAAAAGGTGTTCATCTTAAAGGTGATCTGAGTGAGTGTTAGTAGCTGCAGCGTAGGGTAGGTGAAGAAAGACTTATTTGCTGTAGCAACAGCCATACAGCTGTGACAGTATAACTACCCAAGAAGATGCAGGATGCTTTATCCATCAAGTCATGTTGGCCAATAAGCTGCCTAAGAAACATAAATGCATGATGTTACTTTTTATGCAAATGATCATGTTGTGGTTTTTTGTTTTTTGAGTTTTTCACTGATTTTCAGATCAGTTGGTTGGAGTTCTTTGGCTGTTCATCAGAAGGCTATTCTTAATGCGTCTGAGAGATTTATTTTCTGCTTCCTCTGATCTCCTGCTATTTTCCCCTGAAAATTCAAGAATAAGACAAGACAGTGTCACTATTTGCATTTTCTGAAGCAGGATGGACAGGCCAAGGCTGGAGGCATTCCTTGTTCTTCATGCATCTGTTTTCTTTAGTCTGACTCAAGAGTTGTGGTTTGAAACTAAGTAAAATGCCAATGGTTGAAGGGGTGGTGATGGAGGATTTTAAAGGAAATGCAAATGTTTCCACAACCGTCACATTTGATTTTTAGTCAGGTTCACTGGCTTAAAGCTGAAAATTTCAGAGGAAACGCTACTTTAGGAATATTCATATTCAGAGAACCAAGTGGAAAAAAGGCCTAATAAATATTTACACTCCTGTTACATTTAAAATAATTTGTTTGCTTTTAAAATAAAAAGGTATCTTTGGTATCTAGGAAGTCTGTAGGAAATACGAGATAAAACATTGCCTACAAGGGATTTTTTTCTCTTTTGATGTCCTTTCTGGCTTGTATTTGAAAACAGGAGCTGATCTGAAAAGCATTTCTTCTATTTCTTTTGGAAATTTCTTTACCTTTGTTTGTTTATTTTGTTTCAGTATGTAACAAATATACCAGGGCTATGGGTATCATGTTCAAAGAAAATACATGCAAGACAGCAAGAGCATGAAACAAAATTAGAGATGATTTCAAGTATAACATTTCATAAGTAACATTTTTACTTTAGTATTAAAAAAAAACAAAAACAACAAAGAACCAAATTCCTTACAAGACTGATATAAATGTTACACTCTGAAGTGATATTACTCTCCACTCTTGCATCTGTCCTGTTGATTAGATCTCTATTTACTCATCACCTTGGGCTGTCCCCTGATTCTTCTGTCTTTTTGCTTTATTCACATATTTTGTTGTTCCTATCTGAAACCTTACTTGCTTTGGATTTATTTTCTTATTTGCAGCTGAAGTTAAGTTTCTCTGTTCCAAACATATGGAAATGTTCTTCATGTTCTTCTTGAACGTTAGAAAGAAAGTCAGTTAATCATTTTAGCATAAATATTTCACCTGGTAAATGCAGGGGTGATGTTTCAGCTCAGGGCTGTCTATGCTGAGAAGTTGTTGCAAAGGGAAATGGAAGGTGTGAATTTACAGCAGGCAGGTTACTGAGTATTGGCTGCCTGCGAAGATTCTTTTAGTGTAATCAGAGTGGGGAAGCCTTCTTCTGTCTTTAGAGCCTGCTGATTATCTTGGCCACACAGGACGTTAGTTTAGGTTAACCGATGTCTTCTGCACTCATCCTCTGTCTTCAGGGCCTTAGCTTCCATACATAAAGAAATCTGCAGGAAAAGGACCTGTTTAGGCCATGTAAAATTTATTGCATGAAATCCTCAGGCCCTGTCTTAGATACAACTGTGTTCCAAATAGCAACGGTTGAAAAACTAGGGGAAAAACAAATGCTTTCTATACCTAGGTCATATTTTAATGCAGTTTTATTTCTGTGTATCCAAGAGTGACCTTCAGGCCTCGGTCATGGCAGGTTCAAAAGAACAAATTCACTAACCAGTCATTCTGAACGTCACACAGCTCCACAGGGACTCCCACAGGCTTCCAGCGGGCTACATGAGTGTGGGCGAGGTAGAAACAGACTTTGCACCAGGGAGCTTGCAGAGGTGTTGCACAGAAAGGCATGAAGAGATCCTTAAGGTCTTGAGGCCTTAAGGCCTTACACAAGTATCCACTTGACTCTTTGGCTTCCCCAGGCGCGTCAGGGCTCACACTGTTTCCCCTTCACTAGCATGCTTTCACAAATCTCCTTTGGTTTTGAATTTTGGTTTCTATCATTTCTATTCAGTATTCTGGCAGGATATCTTATATAGTGCCTACTCTAGTAAGGCTTTGTCTTCCTGTATCTGTGTATCCTGAGGGAGAACTCAATCCATTATTGACTGGGAACTGCTCTGAGATGTGCAGCAGTTGTGTGGGCAAATATTTTGAGAAACAATTTTTCTTCTATCTTCTGAGGAGACTGTTAATTTCAGTCATGACAGTGTAACCTGCAGTATTAAACTGTACAGATTTTGTTACTTATTCCCTCGGAAAACGTGGGTGCTCTGTGTTTGGCACCACATGTGCAAAGAGAATGGGCAAGCGTGAGTTCAATGAGAACTTGTTCTTATTTCATTGTCCAGGTGAGAGTTGAGTAATTGGGGAACAGAAAGAGGTGGTGAACCTAGATATCCCAAGTGTAAGTTAGTCCCTAAGTTACAAGTCGGATGTGACTTAATTCTCTAACAATTCATTCAATGTAGCACTGCTTTGACCATCTGTCACACTGCATGATGCTGAGGTAAAAAAGCATTTGTCTTTTTGTAACAAAGGGAGGACCAATCCAGGGATGGATTCATCTTCTACTTCCTTCCTTTCTTCTACTCCCACCTCCTTTAGTTATTTCCGTTTGGCTCAAATGTGAACCTGGCCATATGGTGACAACTGGATGCATTGTGCAGTACATGCTGTTGTGAGAGGTATTCTCAGGTAGTAATATATCCTCATGAAGAAAATGACGTGATACAGTAAGAATACTACTGTAAGGTATGGTTGACACATGGAAAAATATGTACAGAAATACCAAGCAGTGCATCAGAACTGCTAGTTGCCACATCAGCTGTGGAGGAGCTGAAAAGGGCATCGGCAGATGTGGGAATAGAGTGAAGGAAAGAGACTTGCAAGGTGCAATGAGATATGCACGATGTTCCCTGCCACCTAATTAACGAGCGCACTAGTGCGTAAGTCTGGGTTTATCTTAATTTCGTATTTGCTTTGCTGAACACTGGGAAACACAGCAGGAAGTAAATGGCCTTTTGAAAGAAACGTGACTAATATTTCCCTGAACAGACTCCATTTCATACAGCTAATGTTGAATGTACTACATCCAGCCACAAAATACACCATAAAATGGCCGAGTACCAAACATATGATACAAACCGTGCCAGATTCATGCCAAAAAAACTGTAGCAGCTTCTGAGAGAAAAATGATGGAAAATATTCCTGTTTCATAACGCAGAATAGCAATGTTGTCTGAACATGCCTCATAAGGATACAGAAAGTGTTTGATAGTCACTGTTTTTATTACATTTTAAGTTCTCTGAATGATGTTTCTAATCTGGGGTTCTTACAAATCGTGACTAAACAAATGAAAAATTAAAATGTGATGCCTCATCATAGCTGAAACTCTGGTACTTAGCTTGTGCTTATGTTTTTTGTTTGTTTTTTTTTTCTGTTCAAGGGATTTCTTAGTGCCTGTTTAGCTACTTGAGAAAACTGCAGATTTTCAAAGAGATGCTTTCATTTATTCTTTGGTTCAGCATAGTTTGGTAGGGATGGAAAGAGAGAACAACCCTGCCTTGTAGTAAATGGAGAACGGTTCTCAACAAACTCAACTGAAAGTCATAGCTGTACTCTTTTCTTTATAGAATTACAATGAAGCATCAAGAACAACTGTTAAAAAAAAAAAAAAAAAAAGAAAACCTACCAAAAAAAAAAAAAAGAATAAAAAGAAAAAAAAAATTATTCACATAAGAATTCAGCTCACGGCACCAGAAGCTTCCAAATTGCTCTTTTCCCCCTGTTCCAGTGATGCCAAAAATATTAGAATCAAGTTAAGATCCCTAGATTGTAAATCAAGCATTGAGGCTTGGCTGCGGAAGAGAAATCTTATTTGAACATTAGCAGTCCTGTGGTAACTCTGCCAGCTTTATTAATCTTATTTCACTTGTGACCTCAGACTTTCCATCTGAGTAAATCTTTATGAAATGCAGTCTCTCCCAATTGCTTTCCCTTTTCAATAAAGGAAATTCTTGTTTTCAAGGGGAAAAATGCTAAAAGCCTGTAAGTTTATGTCTTCTGAACCCATGATCCAGCCTAATAAGTAATCTCATAATCTGAGTTAAATATCTCCATTTTCATTTCAGGTCTTAGAGGTTTTTGCTTTCAGTAAGTCTTTTTTCACAGATAGGTAACACTATTCTTTACCTAGAAATACTTTGTAATGATTTAATCAAGATAGGCTATTTATCTTCACAAGTGAACTGAATTGCACTTTCTAAACATATTGTTGAGTTTATAAAATCATAGACTAGGAAGAACAAATAAGATTAAAAAAATGCTATGTGTAGAATACAAAAATCATTAGAGATGTTGCAACGTCTTTCCAACTTGAGCAAAAATAAATGCAAACCTTACATGTATTTTTATATAAAGAATCCTGAGTTCTGAAGTATGGAAAGCCTCATCTTGTCTAACATTGCTTGGCAACTCAGAAGTCAGTTCTGCTCCTCAGACATTTCTGTATCGAGTAGCAGCAATCCAATTAGATGGCCATAGAAGTTTAGGTGCAGAAGGGAACCTTGGATGCCTGTAGATTACAGGAGGAAAAATGTAATTCCCTGAACTGTGCAGAGTGAATCTGATGGAGCTCCCATTTCAGGAAGGGATCACCATGTCAAGATCATACTTTGTGCTTAAAAGCTGCCTCTTGAAAGCAGAATCCAATCTTGTCAGCTGCACAGAGCATCTCCTTCAGCCCCGTCTCAGCTGAGCTGGGAGGTGTTTTGTGAAAGGATGGCTGGCAAAGGGAGCAGAGACAGGCTGATCGACGGTTAGCACTGTGATGTACTGAGCCTGATCCAACTCCTATTAAATTGAGTGGGATCAGGTTCAGCCCTTAAATGCAGGAAATATTTTACTGTGAACTATCTGTATGATAGCTGCCAGGTAGATCAATAAGGGCTTCCACTGCTTCCTGCTGCTCACCTTTGATGAGTGCTAGATTTATGACAAACCCAGCAACTAAAGCCAGCTCATTTGATCTGCCCTGATGGCAACTGCTGCTGAAGATAAGACAGACGTTATTGCCTTAACTGGCTGGATAAGGAAAAAGAGACACCTGCAGAAAGGTTGAGAAATGCTACTCTTTCTATTCCCTAACCAATTTGTCTGTATCTTCAGAAAAATTCACAGTGTGGCTTATGTTGGGAGGAAAGGATTGTTTATGCATTTATTAAAGAAAAACAAGTAAAGTTTATTTCCAAAGGAAAAAATATGGTTCGTCTAAGGATAACCTGTCAGGTGATCTGAGTACAAAGTGTGCAGTGGACAAAGTTGAAGTTGCCTCAAGCTGTGTTGATGGTGTTCTCAAGCTGTGAGGTGCTCAAGCCTTGGGTTTGGTGGAGCCAACTTGAGCTCCACATGTACGCCCTCCAAGTCTTTACTTGCTCAATGGCTTTGTCATTTGACTGTTCCTTTCTCTTAAGTCATCAGCCTGCAAAAGGAGATGTTCTGCTTTATGAAACCCTGCAGACTCCTTCAGGGTCAGTGGTGAAGAGTACTTCAGTAATCACAGCTGGTGAGAACGGGTGAGAAGGAATGAAAGAATTTTAGGAAGAGAGGGTTGCTAAACATAAGACCACTACCAGACTCCAGGTAGCATGGGAACTAGTGTATGTGCACCTTGCTGGAGCAAATCTTGTTGTTGTCCTTGTTTGAAAAGGAGGAAAAAGGAAAAGAAAAAATAAAACGTGTGTGGGAAGGGAGTGAGAAGGGATAGTAGTGCTGCCTCAGTAATAACAGAGGATGTTTTATAATCTTCATGTGGTATCTGTGGCTTGATTTTTACCCACAGGCTTACATGCAGCCCCACTTGCTGGGAAATGAGTTCACACATTTAGAGTTTCCACGGAGGGTGCAGCGCAAGGAAGTTGGAAAGAGGATGCTCTACCGTGACTTCAACATGACTGGCTGGTAAGGATGTGCCCTTCTCAGCAAGAGGTCAGCCTTTTCCCCAGCATATGCCTGCTTTGTACACATCTGTGAGTAAACTGCATCAAAGGTGGAGGTGTACACCTTTGTATTATAAAGAAAGGTATTTTCATCTTTCAGATGTATTTTGCTTTTAGAAATTAATATTTAAAATGAGTTGACCTGCCTCCACAGCCCAGACCACAGATCATTTTAGTACATGAGCACTCAAAGAAGAGAAAACTCTCAAGAGGGTAGATATGCCAGGAGTATTCCTGAAAGACAGATAAACAACTTTCCTATCTTGCAAGTAACATCTTATAGAATCTGGATCAGTGGGTGACCATTCCTTTGCATGCAATGCTTGCAGAAGAAAAGAGCTGCTTCCCATGCTCCACTGCAGCTAACACCTCATTTGGGTAACCCTTGAGGGCCTATACAAATAAAAGTTATAGTCATCCTAAAATGAAAGATTTGAATGAGCAGCACTGACTTGACGAGGTGAAGATAGAAAGAGTGATGAGTTTTTTGTCACTAGACAAACCTAATGTTTCTTTCTTTGTCTCTGTCAGTGTCTTCATTGTTTTGTGCCAGTTCAAGAGGCTCTTTCTCAAGTGACTCTCACTAAGAAAAGTCCAATGCCTTGTCATTGAGTACTGTGTATGTGACCTATAAAGGCAAATGTCTTATATATGCAAATGGCTTTTGCTTCTCTGCTATTTGTGTTTCAGCATCCTAAGAAAATGTTCGTAGAGGAAAGGAGGGGATGGAGAGGGTAAAAAAGCCTGAGCTCTTGTAGATTTGGAGACTTGCACGCACAAGTACAACTGCAACTCCACATGCTTCTGATTGTCCCATGCTTTGGAGACCGTAAATATAATGATATTTTAATGGCAGAGTTATAACCTAAGTTTATTAATATAATCTGGAGTGTCTGTACTGTACAGAACATATTAATCTGGGAATACTCATAATTGTCCATCAGCTTGAACAGCTGCTAGTAGAAATATGCAATCCTTTCCTGAAAATAGCGGCTGCACATTTTGAAAAGGCTGCAGGCAAAAGCAAAAGAATGGGAACAAAATGAGAACATTGGCCCAACTGAGTCTGAACAGTAAAATATTTGAAAGGCTCTCAGTTTCTGCAAAGGGAGATTTTTCTTATTAAGTACATCGATCTCTGAAGCATCAGAAAGGAATGGCTTCATGTAGACTTCCAAAAGATTTTTCAAGATGTGAGATGCAACTTGGAGGGGGGGGAGGAAGCCAAATTACACAACAAATATTGTGGATAGATATGTAAGTAGCTCCAAAAAGGAGGGTAGGAGCAGAGTTATGTAAGTGGTTGAAAGATAAAGAGAGTTTCACCTGGTTCACAGGAGTTGTCTGGATTTTCCTCAATTGGTTAGAGGTCTGGAAAGGAAATACAGTTAGAATGACTGAACTTGCAGTATTTGCAGGTGACACAGCTCTTCTATTAATAAACAAAAAAGGTCTCTGAGGAACTATGAAGGATTAAATGATTTACACAAAGGGGCATCACAGTGATCAAATTTGGTGTTGATAAATAGCAAGAAAAGGATGAAAAATAACTGCTTTTTGAAAGTAGAAACAGCAAGAGCTGTTTCAAATACAACTGTGAGAGTCCTACTTACAGGACTGTTGCTTTTTTTTTTTTTTTCAGTAAAAATCATAAGCAGGATGCTGGGATGCATACAATGTTGGAATGGTTAAAAATTAAACAAAGGGATAAGGCTGCATATCGGTTTGTTCCTTACTTGTGAATATGTGCACAGCACTTCACCTTATTCAGAATGGTTATTGCATAACTAGCTTGGCTTTAGAAGAAAGATAAATAGGAAGGAACATGTTTTATATGTAGAATAGCAAGTAGAAGATATTGGATAAGTCTAAACTGATTGCAGATTTGTTTTGATGTATTGTATTTCAGTACTGGTGTGTGAACTCTGTTAACTCTAGCATATGGCAGGGGGGAGAAGTGAGTTGATTTTGCCTGCTGATTTCTCTGAATTTCCTGAAGTGTGAGGCACACATTGATCCAGTTACCGATTCTAATGTGGTCAGTGCAAAGATTACCACTGGTTTATCACAAATACGCTTAGCTGTAAGTAGTTGTTCTGGAACAAATACAAAAATTGTGACTTGAAAATTGAAGTCTGAATTTACCTCAGTGTTTTCCCAGAAAGGGTTGGCTTGTGCCAAGCAAAAGCATGTGGAGATTGTGATGATACTACCTCTCCCTGCTGTTCCTTTGGACTTCTAGCTGGAAGTGGAAAATGGGGGCTGCATTTTTGTCCTGAGTCAAAGAATCTGAATCTCTTAGCCGTTCTGTACCCCACAGCTAGAGTACATATTGCCTCTTTCTTTTTTTGCTTCAGGACAATGAAATGGTGAGGGAACTGCTCTATTGTTGTAGCATTTATCGAAGTCAGAGTCCTTTTAAATAAGGATTTATTTCTTTTCTCAGGGTGCTTTCCCAAGGAAGTCTTGTTTTCCATCGAATTACATGCAGTCATCTCCTAAGCTGAGGAAATGCAGTCTGCTTCTATTTGTCCAAAATCTGGGTCACTCTCAGTGGCTGAGGTTGTGGACAAGGTGTGAGATTTCTTACCTTGATGGCCCCTCAGAGGCGATGGTTTGAGGTGGCTGACATTTCACTGATTCTTTTCCACCTCAAGAGTCTTGCTCCTGTTTTCTTCCCCTTCTAATCCTTCAAATTAATTGATGCATCAGGACATGGCAGCCAAGGACGTATCTGTTCTCCATTTGTTTCTAAGGACAGTATCTATCATGGAAAATGAATTAGCATATACATTTCTTTTCTAGAAAACGTCAGATGGTGCTTTGGCCAGCCAAAGCCTGGTTTGCTAAAGTGTTGCCAATCCTTTATCACTTAAGATGCAGATCAATTGTCTGAATCTTTTTTTGGTCGGTGATCTCACTGTGTGTTGACATTTGCATGTACCCGAAGAGAAATGCAGGTGATGTCAGGAAGAAACAGCCTCACACTTACTGCCTCCCTTAGTAGGAGGGTGTAAAACTCTGCTCTGGTGTTTCCTCAGGAAAATGAACTGTTTTACTTTAAAATTCAGGACATTTTCTTCTATTAGAAGTTGTATGCTTTTTTAATTTTTTTTTTAAATTTTTTACCCTTCTCCTGTGCACTGGAGCCTTTCAGATTCTCAACAATGGATTGGCTTGCCCAGCTCATTTGGATTGTAGAAAGTTATTGTCTTTCGGTCTGTCATAATGCATTTGGCCTTTTTTTTTTTCTTTTCTTCCCTTTTTTTTTTTTTTTTTTCCTGTGAAGTTTCCACACTGGCTTTGTCTCAGCTGCCCACAGTGGTAGTAGAGCTGCCAAGTTTCCCTGCAGCATTAGGACAACCACTGATCCAGCAATGTGTGCTACATCACTAGTCCAGGCTGCCTGTAACTGCCCTGACACCAGCATTTCTCTTCTGCCTCCATTTCTCTTTGACTACTTGCCTTTTCTCCCTTTTCTCTAGTAGGATGAGAAATCTGCTGCATTAAATGTATATAAAATGAATCCCATCTAGGTTGAAGCTGGCCATGAGCTGCTCCTCCTGCACCATCACCCCCCACACATCATGATGGAGCAGCCGTCGCAGAAAGCGTTCTGTAGCTGGCAAAGCATCTTAAGAGCTGTGTCTCCTGCTGAACAAGCCTCCAAGCTGTCTCGAGCTGTAATTTGCTGGCAGACATCTGTGTTACTTACAGTCTTTCACAGCTGGATCTCTGGTCTGGGGTTTGCAGACCGTGGCTTGCCGAGGTTAAGCTTGAATCAGAAAGGGTACTTCTGGTGACATGGACACGTCCTGGCAATAGACGGGGAGGACTCTGGCCACAAGAGCAAAGTGCTGCCAATGCTAAAAGAGGTAGAAATAAATGGGGAAGAGGCGTGCCTGGTGAGAACTGTGCTCCTTTTAAGGACGGCACACAGTGAGAGTTTTCCATCTCCTCCTTTTATTTAGCATTTAAGACACGGTTGGCAGGCTTTTCTTTACATGTGGGTAAATGAGGGAGAACAATTCTGCTTTGCTCTGAATGCATCTCAGGCATCATCTCCAAACCTGCTTGGTGCTGTTCTGGCTTACTGTGCCCCTTACGGCACATAGGCACATGGAGCTGTTTCATCCAGTGTGCCCTGTCAGCCTTCTGCAGCCTTGTGTTTAACCAGAGGTATCCAGAAGGCACTACCCATTGGCATCAGCCATTGTGGTTTCAAAATTAACCTCTTGCTTCTTCTCAGAACATAAACAGTGGCCTTTCTGGTGTTTGCATTAAAACAGGATTTGTTGAATGCTTGTTTTCAGATCAAAGCTCTAGCTTTTTCACTCAATAAATTTCAGCAGCAAAAGAGCCTGGACAAAAAAATCCGGTTTCAGTCCTGACATGTTCCTGACTTCCTTTGCCCTCCAGGTCTGCACACAGTTGTACAGGACCCATACAGAGCAGTTTGACCCAGTGCAGCCCCAGCCAGGCCTTTGGGGTTGGAGCCCCAGAGCACAGTGTGCTGGAGGGCTGTGTGCTGCACCTGAGTTTGCCCATTGACGGTACCTGCAGGGCACTACTGGCTTCTGGCGAGGTTTTGTCACAGTGCATGACCTGGGGATACGCTATGCTTGTGATTGATTCCAAGGCAGAGGCTGGTGCCCAGGAGCTAGCACTGAGCAAAACCTATTTTATTCTAGAGTCAATATTGGCCACTTCCTGGCAAGCCGACAGCCTATTCTGTGCTCGCCCTTTTCTTTTCCAACAGGGAATGTCTTTCAGCCTCCAAGCATCTGATTGAAAAAGCAACTTCACTTTTCAAGCCATTTTATATTGTTTGGGATGGATGCCTTTTGCTTTCATTGCACAGCCTGCTTTGCAGTCTGCGGTTCAGTCTCCGGCACACAAAAACCAGTGTCTCATTAATCACTTACTGGGGATCCAGAGTACCACGGTGAGAGCCAATGTACA